TTTCTGGAGTTTAAATAAGGATTTTGGTATAGATGACTATCTCACAGTTCATTTGGTTTGTCCCATCCCTCAATGACCTGTTGCATTGTCTACTCTAAATTCCATTTCTACACCTTTTGCAAAATTTTGGTGCTCTGAAGTGCATGTTAAAATCCCTGTGAATTTACTGATGATTTAATCTTGTTTGCCTTCAGTTCGACAAAGTATTCCTACATTATCTTTAAATAATAACCCCATGCTTAAATTTAGCAAACTACAATGTATTCTATGACTGAAACTTCTGTGTGCTTAACTAATGGTTTAAGCAAGGATCTGCATATGCTGCTCAACTTCCATCAAATTTCCTACTTCAAACTATTTGACAAAAAATAATGAGTAAATTATTTTTTGGCCATCTGTGCTACTGCTTAATAAAACAGTAAATGAGAACTGTTTTAGTTTTTTACAACACTGATATATATTAATGGATATACTGAGGAATGTATTTAATGTTTTCTCAAGGACTATAGGAAGTGCTCATCCATACAAGTATATGCATACATGACATACTACTTAATATATCCAGGTAAATCCAGGTGGTTTTGAGCTATGTGATGTGTGGACCTAGGTGCAGCATTTGAACAAAGCCCTTCTCAGCTCTTAGGCCTCTTGGAGAGATTCATGGGCAAAGGATAGTCTTACACAATGCCCACAGTGCTCAGCTGAGATGTTATCAGCTATAGAGTGAGTTCATCTCAAGCTAGAAGAATGCAGCAATGGACCTCGGTAACTCCAGCCTCTGTCCTTCATTCCCTGTGCTATATTTTCTTACAGATTTTTGTGTACATAAAGACAAAAGTGCTAGAACTTCAGGCAGCACTTGATATCTCTCCTAAAAATGACTTAAAACTTCTATCCAATAATTTTCATGGGTCATAAAGGGTGAAGGGTTTTGATGACACATGAGTGGCTAAAGGAATACTGGTAGGGTTTTTTTGCCTCTAGTTTCTGGAGCACAGTAGCTAGACCAATACTGTGAATGAGGTGGTACAATCCATGTTCATTGCCTTTGGCTTGATCTTTTATTTTTTACTAACTATATAATGCAATGTAGTAATTCTAACAAGCCTCAAAGTACCTTTGAAGACTGTACTTATCTCATAAACTTAATCCAACATCTATTATTGCTTCTTGTGGCACTATGAGGTCCAAGATGTATAAGAAAGACAATTGCAAAGACAAGTTAAAGAAAGCTTTATCCTTGAGCATGAAATTCTACATCTTTTTACTGGTCTAAGAGTATGTTTCCATACATTACAGTTTTCTTTAAGGGCTCTAACCCCTTATTTTAAGAAGTGATATAAATAAAGAGAATATAGAACTGTTTGCAGTCTGAAGTCATTCAGTTACACATTGTACTTTCTCAGAACAACTGAAAGTGCTTTTGGCACTACATGACAGATATAAATTTTATATATGACCTTGCTCCTCAATACAGTTAAGAGTGATGACATGATATTGTGAAATAGAAACATCTGCATACTGGTAGTTGTTTCTGGACTGTTGAATCTCACATTAAATTTTTAATTCACATTTCTACAAACTCATCCTCTATCTCTCAATTTTGGCTGGTTTCTTTATCAAAATACTCCTTATAAAACATGTGACAATAGTAATGGCAACACAAAGGACTAGAAAATGGTTTTGATTTTATTTACTATCTGGCCCTTTCTAAGCATTTTTATGTTGTTCTTCACAAGGCAAATAACCTTACATGTATTCCTTATTCATTGCAATGGAAAAGAAAATGGATTACACAAATTATTTTCAGCTGTAAACCAGGTTTTGTTTAGCATTCAGCAATGGTTTGCAGTAATCCTTCCTTCATGTTATAGTGCACTGCATGCTGACAGTCATTCACCTCAATTTCATCTTGTTATTAATTAAAACACACTTTCTCTAACATTTCCAAAGTCTCTAACTAGCTGTCATTTACCCTTAACATGTCCAAGATTAGTCTTTCTTAAAGTCTTTACTGATACCCAGAGGGAATTCCTAACTGCGGTCTTGGCACTTAGACTCTGTAGACATACAAAGGAACCTGAATAGGATTAGAGAATAGGAAATCTTCCAACCAAAGTGCATTCAAGTGATAGTCAGGCCAGGCAGATGGACCTGCTAAACAATTCACCTGTCTTCCAGATCTTCATCCTCACTTTGAAAGCTTTGCCTGTCCTGTTGAATCTCATAGATCTGTCTAGTTTTAACTTCAGAATTTTGGATCACTACTCCCATATCAAACAAAAAGAGACCAAAATGTTAAGCATAAAAAAGGTTATCTGCTTCCACAACTAGCTCTGCAAGAGCAGATCAAAATTTACAGGAGGAGTAAGATACCCATATACAGACATATTACACAGCTTACAGATGTCCAAGAATGCAGATAAAGCCTTCCTAAAGCTTCTCCTCTACCATCCCTGAGATATAATGTGTCCTCACACAGCTTTTGCAAGTATGTAGTAACTGCAATGCAAAATCTAGCAATGCAGTGTGGCAAAAAAATATCTGAGGTCAATTTGGTCCACAAAGCAAACAAATTGCCTGAAATTCGTTAGAAAAGACAAAGTATAATTATCATAGGAACTGTTGTGTGTCCAGGAAAAGACTGTGTTTACAGGCTCAGCCAAGCTCTAAGGTTCACGTGTTAATGGGGTAGAAACCTGTTTCTGACTCCTCCATGTCATAGCAATAACACAGATATATCAGGCTTGACATGGAGACATTGTCCTTGTAATCATTTGACAACATTTTAGTTTGAAAAATACCCACTAACAGAAATATACTTCAAAACATTCAAATAATTTATACTTATGTCTCTTGATTAAGAGATAAAAATCTGTAACATTTTCACATTTAAGCTGTGTTAAAGAGAGTAATGTTGCTTTTTTCATGTTTTCTATCTTCCAAATACAAACACTTCCCATGGATTAAATGCTTTGAAAGATGTCTACTCAAAAATATTTTCTGAAGCACAAGTGGCACATTTACTTTTTCAGTTCCACCTGCTAGTTACATTAGCATTAGCAACAAAATAATTCTCAGAACTTAGTTCAAGATTATTGTTTCGGTTTGTCCCAGTTTGGCTAATTCTTTTCAAAAATCAGTATGTCATCACCATTTAAAAGCACTGATAGATATTAAACACTACCTATCTGGAGACCTCAAATATTTTGGTAATATAAAAGAGGGGAAAATGAGGCCTTTGATAATTATCAGGAGATATGGGCTTTGTATAATCTATTTAGTATCATGTTCCAAAATTCAGTTAAAGCATTTAACTGAACACCTTTTTATCAACACCTTTTTCTTGATTATTACAGTCTCTCTGTAAATATCAGAATGGTCTTCTAAGCCAGCCTGCTGTTGCCACAACACAGTCCTTGGAGCTACCCAGGATTCTTGAAATCACCAGAACTTCTAAATAACCCAACAGTTCCTCTAGAGCAGAGCTGAATTAACCGAAGCATATGAGAAAACAACCTGTATTCTTGTACAATTTTTTGTAATTCCCAGTTGCTTTTCTGCCTACAGACTGATTGTTTCCATTGACCGTGAAACTGAACTGAGACATTTGTGTTCAGTACTTATCCTTGTGCTAAGATAAGCTTATTAATGCATTTTGCAAGATTTTCAGAATAAATCTGAAAACTGTCAAAATATGATATCCAAGAGATTATAGCTGTAAAAAAATCTGGTAATTTTTTGCCACTTTTGGAAAGTCCAAATATTATAATCCAAATATTTCAAGTATCATAATTTATTTTCCATAATGGATTTAATTTTATTATAATCCCTATTTCAAGTCACATGACATATTTTCTGCCACTAAAGAATGCATCAGATTACTAATCTTTTCCTTATTCAAAACATAAAATTAGAGAATGAAAATCAAAACAATGTCTGAAGTTCTAAAGTTTTCCATCAAAGTTTAAAAGTGACCACTGCAAACAGGACTCCAAAAATTTTTTTTTACATGTTTTCAGTATTTGTTTTGAAAAAGCTCAGCTATATATAAAACCTCAGTTTCAGCATGACATAATAGCTACATTTTTTTCTCTCCCTTATGTTTATGATTCAACCTTTGGTCTTCTTACTCTGATCAGCTCTATTAGGATAAAAGCTCCCACGTAATAGTCAGTTTTTTTAGCAGATTTCCAGCTTTAAGGCAAAACTTCCCTCTCACAGCATAATTCAAATTATCTTCACTTCTGTGAAACATGTATTTCCCCTCATACTTGCACATAAGCTCATGCCTTCACAGCATACATACAAATAAGCCTCACTGATGAAACTGATTTCCCCTGGAAAAAAATGATAAGTTTTATTTAATCTCTGGCTTTCTTGTAAGTTTCTTTTTGAAAACTAACCTGAATGTTTAAGAGTTCTAGTTGTTTCTGAATAATATAGATATGTGGTCTTAGAGCCTCTGGCTACAGCTGAAAATTTTTTTTAGTATCAATTATATTGTTTTTCAGACTCAAAAAATCATTGTCAACTACAAGAAATCCACTATTCAGTATTACAGAGCTATCAGTATTATCCTGAATGGGTGGAAGTCATAATCTTAAACAATTGGTTTAGCTTCTAATTTAGACATGCTGCATAAAAAAGAGAGTGATATCCTACAGCACAGAAAATTCCATTTTTATATCAATGCCTTAAAACCCACAGCCTACCTAAAGTAGACAGGAATTGAATTTTTCTGTAAAACACACTTAATCGTGTCTGACACAAAAAGGTACCAGCTGATCAAAAGAAACAGCAATGTAGTTGCAACAGATTCCCATTTGCTTGACTGGGATAATTTGAGAGATGAAGAAATAGAAAAAAGTGCATGAAAGTGCCTCCATGACCAGCTGTGGGATAAAGCAGACTTAGACCCTGATGGAACTAAAGGATTTGCAGTTCTAAGACACTGTGTTCATGAAGAACTAATGAGTCCTAAATTTATTGTTTCCCAGAGCATCCTAGAATTAGAGAAAAGCACATTCAAAAGGAATTCCAGAGTTTTGAGAGACCATTTTCGGAGAATAAGTAATTCTTCACTCAGGTAGATTTATTTACTCACACTTTCTTGTCTAATATTTCAATCTTACACTTTCAGAATGCTAAAGTAAAAATCTTCATGAAACCATTTATATTTTGTTATTACCTCTCTCTAATTTTGTACTTATGTATCATGGTACTGTATTAGCAGCTTCACCAAGTGATTAATTAACAATGATGGCTTTTGGAAGACACTAAAGTATTGGAGCTTGGCATTGGGTAGGGATGGGAGGGGAACCTTACTGGAATTATCAACAACACATTGTAATCAAGTAATCAAGACATTGATTTTGACTCCAATCTATAAAGCTTTGTGGCTAAGTAGTTTTGTTGTCAAGGATATGAACTAATGCTTAGGTAACTATAAGCTTTTAGAGCTGAGATTCACTCACTATTTGTCACCATACAGAAAGATAAGACAGACAGAAAAACTGCCTGTAAAAATCCTATGGCATTGAAGAGAGACCACATAATATTATTAAGTTAATCTTGAAGATTCTACGGAGTCTTGAAGACACTACTCACTGAGCAGGGTATCTTGCTTCTATGATATAATACCATATAAAAATTAATGTTCAACAGACAGGTAACAGGTTGTACGTGAAAAATTAGCACACACCTGGTAGTGACAAAATTATCTTAAGGGTGATTAATATCTCTTAATACTAAAAGGGTTACATTTTCTTTATTGCATTAGTGCTAATTCTAAGTGCTAAATTAGCATGATCTTTATTGAGGTTTTATAGTCTTGTTGACTTTTAATGTCATAAGTGAACCATGATTTCTAACTTCCCCCTTGTACTGTGAATGCTAGAAACCTGTTTTGCTTTAAAATGTTAATCTTGAAGAGTAATTGAGTCTCAGAAATGTTTGCCTTAGTGTCCAACAACCATGAGACCATAAAAATCTCCCAAATATGAGTGAACTGTATCTGAAGAATTGTTTCTGATAATATTTGGGGGCAAAACTTTTAATAAATTTAAAAAATGTCACAATGTGCAGGAATCTATTCCATACTATTTCACTTAATTTGCTTTTCTACTAGAAGAGTTACAATAAAAAAACTACAAGTGAAATGTAGTCTCTCAGTTTCAAAAAGCTTTCATATAAATCCACTACAAAATCTCTGAACTAAGAATGACACAAAAGTAACAAATTATAGAAATATGTTTGATGTTTCACTGTGGGTTTCTTCCCTCCCACCTTTACTTTAAGAAACTACAGATGCCTTAAGAAAAGATACTTGAAAAATTCAATGTGTTACATATCCTCTGATATTTTGAGACCTCATAAAACGATCTGAAAGCAACAGAAAGACCACTCTTTGTACTGAGATGTGAGCTTTTCTCAGGCTGAGAACAGTTTCACTGATTATTGAGCAATTCTACTTGTGCTTTCTGTCCAAAGTACTGATCAGAACTTAAATTTAGAAGGAAATACATGGTACAGAGTGCACATCGTCCACAGATGCATGCTGGACTAGACCATAGTATTGCCCAAATGCACCTAGCCTGCAACCATTCAGTGTTTTCTTCTGTTTATTTCTTCTGCCTTTCATGGCATTTTCATGGGTCTTTTCATGCCATGCCAAGAAATCACCTCACCATTGACAGTCAAGTATCCAGAGAATTTCTCTAATAAGCAGATAGTTTGCTTTATTTTCTAGGAGTAATTATATGATGTTAGAGACTGTGGCACACAAACTCTGTGTGGTTTGTGCATGCTTTAACTACTTCCCTTGAAGAACATTTCTAAAGACAACATATGCCGTTTGAATAAGATTTTAAAATTAGGATGAATCAGCGCAATGTTCTGAATGTAACATGCAAAACGCTGCAGGCTCAAATCCAACATTGAACTAAAGATATTTTTGGATGTGTAATGCTCCAGATATTGTTAAAAACTCACATTAAATGTTACTTGGAATGCTGAAATTAATTTTTGAAAGTTGCAGTGCATTTTTACCTAGTCTTTTACGTGGTTGTTGTTTTGACTACTGCTAAATTTATAAATAAATTAAAGTATATCCGACAGTTGCTCTAACTGATACCTTTTTCTAATTAAGTCTTAGTTGTGGAGTACACAGAAAAAATGCTTTAAAGTTTTTCTTTTGTACACATCACAAGTGCATGACAAAATATCTGACAGCAAATCATCAAAGCTGAAGTTTAAATAGCACTGAATTATCTGCTTTAAATGCCTTTATCATTATATGATCACTGAAATTTGTCAACGTCTCCGTGTTCACTAAAAACATGACTAATTTAGGTCAAGATATTTTGAATTCAATGGACCAGTATGTTAGGGTTTCTATTTTTATATGAAGAAAAACCACTCTGATATGATCACTGTAAGTCTGTGTGTACAATCCACTGTCAAGGGACATTTACCATGGTCTTTCACTGGGGGAACAGCCCTCTAAGACAAAAATGTTCCTACATCAATTTTACTACAACTAAAGAAAAAGTCTATTCTTTCTAGCTAGAAATCCAGAATTTTTGTGACAATAGGAATGTTTTACTCCTTTAAATGTTTATTCTATCTGGTTTATCCTTTGTCATTTCTCATTTGCTGAGAAAAGACACAAGGTTGGTGTGATAATATTTGATTAAAAAAAAAAAGAAAGATGTTTCTTTTTAAGGAAACAAAATGTTTCCTTGATAGCAATGAAGGTCACATAGTAGTATCTCCCTTTTGAGGATGTTGTGCAAAAGAAGAAATTTCTGGATCAAGCTGCTATTAAATTTACCTTCCTTTGTGGTGTTAAGCAATGAAAGCAACTCTAACTGTTGGCATTCTCAGGATCCATGTGAGTCTTTACTAATCTGTAACAACATCTTTTAAGTCCTTTATTCCCCATGGAGAAGGCAAATAAACCAGAAATGGAAAAAACTCCTCAGGGAAGCAAACAAAAAGTTAGGCAAGGGTATGGGTTCTGCCAATGGGTCTCCTGTGTATGACAAAAACATCCCATATCTTACAAATGAAGCTGCTGTAACATTTGTTCACCCTATGATAAAGAACACACTGAAAAATTTCCTCTTTTATTACTAAGAAAGCAATAAAAAAAAGAAGCTTATGAGGCTTTAGAGAATGAATGATTTCAAATTTCTTGTTTATATTCAGCAAGTAGAAGCAATATTAAGAGATATCTTTAAAATACCAAGTACTTAGGAAAAACTCTAATACTTTCTAATTCAGAGCAAACAAAATTGTTAATTTACTTTGTGGATGTCTGGATAATTGTATTTCTTAGTTGCACTAAGAGGACCAAACAGGGAAGGACAGGCATTTACAAACAAGTGTTTTGGCACCACATAACACTCAAAACTCTCCCTTATATACACATTAATGCACTTCTGTTTGCTAGAGATGACCACTAGATTTGCCTGCCCTCACACTGAGTACTTGACCGTAGGAAAAACATTTCAAACTGATTCTAGAGCTTCATAGAAGCTTTCCAGTTTCTGTTACTTGTCTAAACTCCAAGTTCTGTGTTTTTCCTCTGAGTACAATACTGTGCTCACAAGCCAGAGTTTTAAGCGCATGAACTCATTTTACAGTTTTTAACTATTAACACTGAATGTGATATTACAAAAAATTAAGCTAAGAATAACACCATAAATAATGCAAGCCCCCTTAATTTATAAGGTAACCCTTTAAGGCATGCATAAAACTGTGCTTTTGAGAAGTAAGGAAAAGTGGAAGGTTTTCCTCATATTTAATTGTTTCAGAAACAGGTCTCATTTTAATTCAATTTCACAAGAAAGGTTGCAAACCAAAAGTTGTTGCAAAATGACCCATCAAAGACTTTTCATGCTTTATCCTCTCTTTATTATGACCCCAATGTCTTTAGTCAAACTGGAGGAATCTCTTATAAAACCCAAAATACTATTCTGTAAATTTATCCTATAAATTCAGTCTGAAAACTGAAAACCAAAATATTTCTTTCTCATTTACTTTTTGTCTGTTTTCAAACTTCAATTTTTACAGATGAAAATGTAGAAAAAGGATAAATTCATGACTAAGAAGGGCCTATAACCCCTAGCCATAGAGCAAAATATTTCTCATTAAATACTGTTGGATGCTGGAGAACATTGCAACAGCCAGGAATCAGAATAACTGATTTTGTGATATTACAGAAAGAATCCCTCATTGGTGAATTTGATTGAAATAATTTCAATAATTGAGGTAGTTCACAACATTCAAGAAAGTCAATATAAGCACTAATTGAAATGTATCTTGTTTGTTAAGTGAAGCAAAGTGGGAAATTTCTATATAAAGCTTTTCAGTGAATTTCTGCTGTCTTTAAAAGTCATTATATTTGCATGATAATCCAGTTTGGCACTGCAGTCCAGTCTGCTTCAATTGAACTTGCCCTAGAAAATCTCCTTTTCTTTTGTTTACTGAATGACATATTCCACTGAATAACTAAATCCATTTTGAAATAGAAAAGGTGAAGTGCTGCTAGTAAAGTCACTCTAGCATTTATCAGAAACATTAGTATGTTTTTGTCAGTAGTAAAACAATACTGTGAAGATCATTTTTTCTTTATAATGCAGACTATATTGTATTATATTTCTCAATGTTTATTACACAGCATGACAATATATTTCCTCCTTATCAAATCAAAATTTTGCACACAATCAGTTCAGCCTGAAAGATGCATTTTCATTCAACTATAGATTTGTTCTGTATCTGATTAATCCTCCCCTTATAATTAAGTTGTCATAGCAAAGCATTTTTATTAGTACTGATTCATATGCCAGTAATATTCTGGAGACACAGCTCCTGGTAGATTTTTAGTACTCAGTTACTCTAAATTATAAAGTTAGCAACTAAAAAAGTACTGGTTAACTTGCTCCAGCAGAAAAACATGTGATCAGACTTAAAACAGGCCAAAGTATCATTTGACATACCTCCCAGAAAGCAACACAAAATTTTGGGTGGCTCATCTCAAGAAAGTAAAGGCAGATCCTACATCTGTTTTATTTTCAATATAAATCCTTAATGATTAAAAAATTACTCAATGCTTTAAAAACCTAGGTAATTACACCCAACTAGGAAGAAAATGCAGGGTTTTTTTCCTAAAGGTGTTGCTTTTATCTATTGGTACTTCTGTGGTATACCAGGCAGCTGTGCAGAAGTATTGATAATGGGAAATCACTACTTTACATGTCTTCCTCTCTGTATTTTCAACAGATAAATTAAATTTCAAATATTTATACATTTTCAAAATAACAGGAAATCATCCTTCAAAGACTAGGACTATATATCTTGGCTGTTTCCAAGGCAATTATAGCAAGTTGGACTCAATGATCCTTGTGAGTCCCTTCCAACTCAGCTTATTATGTAACTGTGATTCTGTGAAGTATCAGCATGCTCAAGTCTGTGAGAGCAAAAGAAAATTGCCTGATATTTAATTCATTTTTTTAAATTCAGAATGTGAAGGATTATGTGCATTATTTTCTAGGATGAGGTAAAATGTGAGTCAAAGTGACATGAAGCAAAAATGGTGTTAGCTTATGTCTGTGGCTGAGAAAGACAAAGAAAAGAGAAAAAAACCTAAGAGATTACTTTCCTCATGGCTCTAGAAAGCACAAGATTTAAATTCTGAAGACTTGTTTGAGAAGATCATTGCATTGCATAGTCATCTTCTAAAGGTTCCTTCAAAGGACTGATGAAGGGGAAAGTACATTGTGAATGCAATAACTGACCTAACTAATATAAGTTAATGAAGATGTGTATTGATTTGGTTATGAGGAACTCTTAGCCTCTAAATACATAAATGCAAAATGGTAATTGTTCACTTTGAAGTTTCTGACCTTCCCTGAATGATGTGAGAAATGTGCCTGCATAAGTCAGACTAGAAGCAAGAAAAAGATGTGCAGTTACCAAAAATTTAACGTATGCTACATTTGTTTCATATATATGAAAAATATATATATATATATATGATACGTAATATTATATACAAATATTTATATCATATATAAGATATATAGCCTATATAATATATATTATATATATTTGTCATGGGGTGACTTTACCTTTAAGATAGCTTTGGGAGCTAAGGAAGTTGAAGCTGCTGCTGGCTGATGGGAGTCTTTTCTCCTGACCAATTATCAGTCATTTCTGAGAATTGGTGGCAGTTTTGACCATTGAAAAAGTGAGATCAACTTGTGAACATCACCTTAAGATCTAAAGCCAGAGTTTTCTTGCTCTCTTTGGTTTCTGGTTCCTGAAAAGGTAACAGGCTCTGTCTCGGCCTCCTCCCCCACTCCAGGCCGGACAAGGCTGCAGAGGGCGGGTGTAGAAACGGAGCCGGCCGGCCTGGCTTGGTTTGTAGTTTCTGCTGCTGGACTGAAACCTGATACCATGAACATCTGCAGCTTTCCAAGACTTTAACTCATTTACTACCTGGATGAGACTTACAGATTATTCCTTTTTCCCAGAGACAGAGAGAGACAATCAACATGAAAAAAGACATCATAAAACCATCAAAGACCGTGAAGAAAAGAGTTAAGTTTTAGATGGGGAAAAGAGAATAAGGAGATGCTTTATAAGCTGAAATTCTTCTGTCAAAGCTATGGAGATGGACAATAGTGTTCTGAAAAAACTCCTTTAATTCATGACAAAGTATATTGGGAGGAATGGATTGTTCAAAGTGTGGATTTTGAGCAAAAGGTGGAGTAATTGTGATACAGTGAGGGGCTGGAACAGAGGGGGGAGAAGTAATAGTTGAAGATTTGGGGCCATTGTAGAGGCAAAGAGAAAACTTCTGTTTCCAGTGAAGCTCACAGAGACAGATGAAGAAAACGTTTGCCTTTGAATAACTCATCCTTAAAAATGACACCCCTAGACTCATTGACCCATACACACCTCAGAGTGATGTGAAATGGGAGGAATGAACTCTGATGACAGATTTCCAGGCAGCTGGCATCAGAAAAATAGAAAGCTAAAACAGATATAGTTTTCTTGTGAGAAACTCCATAAATTAGCAGAAGACTTCTGTTTCTCTACAAAGGCTGATGAAAAGACTCTAGCAGGAATTGGGAAGGTTTAAATACCAAAGTTTTTCATCTCTATGTTGTCATGTGAACAAGGGAATGGTTGGGTAGTGGGGGATAAAGGGGTTTTCTGGAGGTTTATTCTGGTGTTCTTATTCTTGTAGTTTTTTTAATAAACTTTCTTTATTCCTTTTAAGTTTTAAGCCTGTTTTGCTCTTGTTCTAATACATATCTCAGAACAAGAAATAAGTAAGTTTTCTAGTAATTTTTTAATTACTGCTTTAAAACCACGACCAGAAATATATATTTCTCTCTATATTTATTTCTATATATATTTCTATATATATTTATGAGTCAAAAGGTAAACCAAAAAAAAGGGAGTCTGGACTTAAGCACTGTGGAAATCTAATAATGGCAAAAACGGAGAATTATGTCATTCATAAAAAGCATGAAAATGGACTCTCTGATACTATATTCATTTATTGGAAAAATATGACTTTGATTCAGTGATTCTTCTGTTTTACTATCTGAATAATAAAAATGGTCGGGCTGACATCATACTTGTGCTGTCATTCAGCAAACCATCCTATTACCTGTGCATTTTTATGACAATGAGACAGCCTTGACTATGTCATTCTGTTGCACAGACTCTCTCTCTCATGAAGGTTTAAAATAAATGCATTTTTAGATACCATAGATCTCAGTATTGCATTCATATTTAACAGTAATACATAATAACAAAATAATGTCAAACAGTGAAATGGTGAATGTAACACCAAAGACAAAAGGGAAAGAGAAGGAAAAAGGCTAGATATTTTAACAACTTTTTGTCACTACAGCCCAAGGCTTCCTCCTGATTCTTTTCAAGGTGCAACAAAAATTATATTAAATATTTAAAATATGAACAGGCAAGTTTACTTACTGTTTCCTGGATGCCAGCGCACTGCATTTAAATATGCATTGCAGTAATGGAAAAGAAATTCATGCTTAGATCGAGTAACTTTTCCTTGAAGTAAAGGTAGCAGATCATGTCCATCAATAATCCTGAGTAAGAAAGCATTTCAAAATCAGAAAAATAACTCAGACCTTACTTCCCTAAAAAGATATTATAACTCTGCTCAGTTGCTGTTTAAAAAACCCAAATCTGAATGGCCACCTCCAAGTGGTCAATTTGGAGAAAAACCTTCAGGTGCTTCTCCCTTTGATTTTTACATTACCTAAGGAAACAATTTTACATCTTGCTAATAGTTCCCTCATTTTATTTTTTTTTTTCACTTCTGAGAAAGTGAACAGACATAAGAGAATAAATTGCTACAACATAGTCCAACACATATACCTGTTCAAGTTTTTGGGAGTGGTCTGGCCAAAGTAACTCTAAAACTAGAGAAAATATTTTTCTCTGTGCTAGCATCCCCAAAAGTAGTGGTAATATCTCTGTCCAACATATTATGTATGCCAGAATTTAAGATAGAAGTGGTAATTTCAAATTTGAAAAGGAACTGTTTAAATATGCATTCATCAACTACAAACACACACATACACATAAATATACATAAATTCTCTAAATGCTGTTGGACAATTTGATCATGCTTTGAAGGAATCAGTCAATTTCCATAAAAATTGAGTTACAAAATAAGCAAGACTTTTAACTGTTTCCCTAAATTAAACCTTTGAATTGCTGACATCAGCTGGCAAGGGAGAAATCACAGTCTGCATTTTTGACCTGGTATGAATTACAAATTTTTATAGGAGATTACTTTTTGCTGATATACAGATCAGCAAGTAATGCTTTCTCAAGCATTTTGAGCAACATCCCATAAAATTTTGAAACTAATAAAAAGTTTTAAATGGTCTATGTTGATTTTCTTTACTTTTACATATATGATCATTTCATTACTATTACATAAAATATTTTTCACATTAGTGTAACTACTACAAGACAGGTACTAAATTTACTTTTTTAAGTCACATGTGATGATTGAATTATTGTCAACAACTTTATGCAACAAAGCCATTCAGGGTAACACTTGTCTCAAAGGATGGACATGAAAACTTCCTGGAATTCTGAAAACTATCTTGTCTGATAACTGTCATTGGGGTGAATCCCTGTCTGTGGGGGGTCTGTTGAAACACAGTCTTTCCCATTTTCAGTTTTTCATGTTTTCCTGCACAAGTAACAGGCTCTTGTCTTGCTAGCTTGCTCATTAACAGATGCATGCCTATTGAACACTTTCTGCTCTAGAGCCTGTTCATGGGGAAAAAGGCATCTCCAGAAAAATGTCTCCAGTACTCTAGCATTGCTACAGCTGCTGGATCCAGAGGATATATGAAACTTTTCTTTCCAATTACTAATTTTTCTTCTTTAATTAGGAGTCTCTTCTGTTTCTTTTTAACCTGCTCCCTCACAGTGACAAAATATTAATTATATTAATTTTTCTTGTTTTCCAGGAAGAATTCAGTGGAGCTATAAGAACCCAGCTGCTGGAACAAAAAATACTTTAAGCTGGTCCATGACCTATGATGAAGCAGTACTTATGGCATCAGTCTAACACAGAAGAATCACAGTGGAACAACCTACAAGTGAAAGTTACACAAGTATATTTGATTTCTATAAAGGAGATCAAGGAAAACATCAGTACTTAGTATTCACTCAAGCAATATGAAAACAAAATGCATAAGATCTGCCACATAAAGAACAATCAGAACTTCTGAGGTTTGACTGAATTATTGCTTGTAGAGTATCTCTCAGGACCACCCTGACTAATTTTTAATGTCTTAGACTTGTCCTGCACTGCCACTTCCTTCAAACACTCAATGAATAATCATTAGCAGAGTGACTCTGCTCACCACTGGGCTTCCCCAAGTGGATTCTTGATGCTTTGTGTTCAAAAGCAGTTTCTGAGTCACACATGTGTTCAAAGCATATGCCTATCAACAGGTTTCTCCACTTACTGGATTTGGATAGCAACAGCATTTAGGCAGAGGCACGTTGCCAGTGAGACTGTGTATCTCTCAAATAAGATAAAGCCTGGGGATGTAGCAGTGTCAGGAAAGCATCTTATTAATTGTGGAAGTACAGTGGCTTTTCTTATCAGACTGCAAAACTCTGTATGGGATTATTTTCACTAACGAGGTACAGAGAAAAAAAAACAAACAAACAAAACTGTGAGAAGAGCCTAGATGACATTTTAATGTGTTTTGTGATATTAAGCAGACCAAGGCTAAGTTCATGAAGTTTAAACTAATTTACACGTAAAGTTTCTTTTTCCACCAAATTCATTAATACAGAAAATAATCTTGTCTTGATACATTCATTTTTGCTTTTAGCAAGTAATTCCAAGTTTGGTTTGGCAGTACATTGCTCTGATGGTATTCTGTTATGTTTTTGGTGCTTGGTGCTTGCTCTGCCTGTGAGTTAAGCTGTATTTACATACAACTACATACAATTATTTCTGTAAAATATTATCAGTATGTCAATATGAAAAGAGACAAAATAATATTGCAAGTATAAAACTTAGTTTCTTATTTACATTTTCACCTCTATCTTCATAGATATCACCAGAATGTATAAAACAGTTATGACACTTTCCCTAAAACAGAGATGAATACAGAGCTTACCTGTCAGAGGGTAACTGTGCATTTGCAAGTTTAACTATAGTAGGAAATATATCCATGTTACTTGTTGGTTCATCAATATGGGCACCAGCCTGCACCACTCCAGGCCAGCGGAGAAGACCTGGCACACGAATACCTCCTTCCCAGTTCGTTGATTTTCCACCTGAAAAAAATAGTTTTGTTTGTTATGAAATCAGTGTCTTCTTAGATAATGTCATCCCGTAAGATTCAATTTCCAAATATTAAAGATTCTGTCTAGCTAGAATATTTCCATTAGACGTATTTTTCCTATTCTTAATTTTCTGGATTTTCTACCATCTGTAGTACTTTGTCACTGTAAATTTACTCATAAGTATTAGACAGAGCTTATAAAATGTATTTAAATTACACAAAAAAAAAGAGGTTGTAGGAGATTAAAAAAGCACTTCACTGGAATCTTCACATGGGAATTGGCCTAGATAGTGTGCCCTATAGATATGTGAACCTATAACCAAAACACAGGAATAAAAAAAAAAAAAAAAAAGAGTTATACCTAGGTGTAGGAGCTATGAACCCAGAGAAGGTACATGATATTTTATTAAAAATGGTGCCTAATGACTTTACATAGAAGGAAGTACTAATTTAAGTATATTACTGAATTCTCGAATTTAATGCATCAGAAAAAAAATCACTTCAGTGATGTTAACTTTCAGGATGCTGTGAAGAACTTAGGTCCTAAACAACACAGTTGCATCAAATGCACTATCAACTGATTGCATTCAACAGTGACTTGCAGTCATTTGCTGTTTCTACAAGATCCATCACTGCCCAGTCCTCACAACACCTTTTGCAGAAGGGTAATGGGTTTAGTCTATGACAGCATGTTCACCATTACTGAATAATTAATTGACATGACTCTGTATGAAAAGGCACCACAAATGCTATTACCAATGTGCTGCACAGTCATGACTATGTACAGCACTTCAGGGTGACCTTTGAAATTAATATATCACTTGAAAAAGAAGCCTGTGCTAAACAGATAGGTTTTGGATATGGTTAAACATAGTCAGGGCCGTTTGGAAATAAATTGAGATTATTTTATACAATTAAAATGTCTGGAAAAACAGAAGTATATGGGTTGGACTTCTGTCACTGAATGAATCACATAGCAATTCATGGTTCAGTCAAAACTACCACAGGACTTTTTTTTTCCTGTATCTCCTTTTTTCAGGTAAAAATAAATAAATAAATAATACAACAAAGTATTTCAACAGTTCTGTTTCCTCAGCATCTTAAACACCCAAAATACCTCATAGATGTCAATATCTTTGGTACTGAGGTATGGACCCCAGGCCTTGTCATACATGCTGTCTATTTTACTGACTTCTCAATTATCTTTTCTATTTCAGCAACGGAGGTTCAGAATCCACCTGGCTTTCTACAGGATTTTCACTGTTTGTAAAGGTAAGCAGTAACTTCAAGACAGACAACTCTTTTTTGTATAAATTAATATTTTTCTTTTCTTGTGACCATTAGCTCATTATATCAGAGTTTTGCTTAATTTATATCTTTGTTACATCAGAGTTTTGCTTAATTGTTTTCATGGGCTTCATGAATCAGAATTCATAATATTGAATAGGCAGGGACACATCTAGTCTGACATCAGGAAAGTTAGATTTTCTAATATTCAGCCTTATGTCAAGCAACAATATTTGCTTGAGGTTTTTTTTGCAAACAGATCAAGATCAGATCTCAACAGGATTGTCTATCTTCTCGAACATTCTTAAAAGTTTACAGTCATCACTGAGTTAAATGAAATTCCATTCTCATCTTGAAGTGTGTGACTACTATTCTAAAATTTAAGAAGAGATGCATGTCCTATTTTTGTTTACATTCTAGTAAAATATTATTTTCAAAACACAATTCTAAAGAAAATGTAGATTTAAGTTCATAAATGTTATTTGCTGAGATGTAGAACACCTGTCACCAGAACGAAGTCTTCACCCAAAAGCTGATCAATTGTTAATGTTGTTGGGTCAAGATCAGTGTAGATGTCATTAAGCTGTGTCCATCTTCTGTAGAAAAGGTAACTCTACCCCTGTACAACAGCCATTAGGTTTTTCAAAGTTTGGTGGGAATTAGGTGTTAAACAGCAGGAAAGATTAATAGCCTGACTAAGCTATGGTGCATAGAAAATCCTGCTGAGTAGGAGTTGTTAAATCCAAATAAAAATTCAAGCATAAGGCCATAAAATTACAGATATCCTCAAATTAACATACTTTTAGTGAACAGCTAAGGGAACAGCTCCCAGCCAGGGAGGTGATTTAGCTCATGAGCCAGATCCTAATCCTTTGAACACAGGACAGCGGCTTTGTGGATGAACAGTATCAACAGACAGACAACACTAAGAGTTGATCTGTACCTTAGGTAGCTTTGGGTATCATTTTCTTTTTGTTTCTGTATACCTGTCTGAACCTAATAAGAGTGCTAGCTAGACTGGATGTTTAAATAAAGTCCTGTTATACTGCTGTCTCCTGTGTAATCTGAAGACAGAGAAATTTCAAAGTGACAAATCTGATTCGCACACGTTGCAACTCTTAAAAAACCTAGATACTGGGTTACTTTCACAGCTCTTAGATTCACAGTACAATTTTCTTGAATCAGCAGAAAAGGACAGAAAAATTACACATTACCCAAGCACAAAGGAATACTCCACAAACTCTGATGCCCTGCTGTAAGGTAGAAAAAGCAAAATGGATTCCACAGCAGGGCTTTCTCCTCACTTACGTCTATGAAGAAGTGACTGCTGTTTTCCTTTCAAAAGGCTAATTGGAGCACTTTTTTTTTTTTTTAGATCTTTGGAGACAGGGAATAGCAGGGAATCAGGGCAGGAATTGCAGGTCATTGCAGAAGACTTGTCTTCTCTTATCTCTGCTTACATGGTACTCATTTTTATTAGAATTGGGTTTAGTGACTACAGGTGCTAAATGCCATTACACGATTACAAATCCCTGGACATTAATCATCTTTAAAATTCTAGCTGTTAAACTTTGTTCAAAATATCTGCATTCTTTTTTCCCTGAAGAAAAAAAAATCAAGGTTTTACTACTGATGCTTGAAACATGTAGCAAACATTTAAAAGGCTAATACAATAAAAAAATCCACAAAATGTCATTATTTTGAAACAAAATCTCTTGATATTTAAGGACCTGGCCCATTAGTTTTGTATTTTGCTCATTCTTGACACCATAGAAACAGAGAAAAGAGTGCAACACTGTGCAAATACTAGGCAACCTACCTTTGTTTTATTTTTGTTCTCTTATATTCTTCTAAGCATGTTTTTACAACAGCACAAAACACACCAGGCTGTATTTTCCTCCTTAGCTATCTATGCTTTCTGAGTAGTTGCACCTTTCAGTGTTATATTGAACAATAGCCTACATTCACCTTTCCTGAAAAATCTGCAGGAGCAGCCAAAATACTGACATAACTCTCTGCAGTCATCCACAACATGATGTCAAATTTCCATTTTAACCTCATTTCAAATCTTAGCTAAAAGAATATATCCTTTTTTTTCCCCCCTCTGGTTTAAATTGACTGCTATTACATAACTCTGGCAATAGAGCTTTTACAAAGAAAAATATATAAGGGGGAACTCTGCAGTAAATCGCTATTAACATTATGAATGATGAAAACTCTTTTAAATAACTTTCTTAAATCACCTGGACTGTAACCATATAACCCTTCATATATTCTTCTTAAAACAAAGCTTCCAAACCTCATTTATTCTCTTAAATGATAGAGATACACAAAGACATTAATTATTCTACCCATCTATACTGGACTTTATGCCACAAATATTAATAATCAAGACAGGTTACTATTGCTTACTTTATAAAATGGTTGAACAACAACTTATTTTTAATTACAGGTTTACTCTTTATTTTACTGATTTTTAACTTGTTTCATGTACTGTTTTTCTTAAGTTTTTATCTGAGGTACTCTTGTACAGGTGAATGGAATAGACATGGCTCATTTTGGATGTTTCTCATCTAACATTTCTTCCAGTCAAATTAAATGATCACTGAGGATAATTTTTGTTTCAGTCAAAATTAGAAGATGGGTTGATTATTTAAAAATCTGGATCACTTCAGAGAGAATACACTAATGTAATACAGCACATTTGAAAAAAAAGATCCACTACTGCTTTCTTTCAAGTCAAAAATAAACTCCAACAAATATCACTAGATATGCCATAACCATGATTCCAGGGGTCAAAGCAACGGTCAGCTTGATTTCTCTGTGGCTTACAGGAAGAAAAAGATTTACTAACAGCTTCAAAAGCCTGAACTAACTTATCACTGCAGTATACAAACTTGTTTTACAGTAATAAATATAAAAAAAAAAATAATTTGGGTATTCATTTCTTGTTTTGGCCTCAAAGATCTGGAGTAGATTTAAAAAAAAACAAACAGGGTCTAAGTCCTTAGGAAACATTAGTTATTACTTTTTTTGGATATTAACAAATAACTATGACAATACCTATTACAAAGGCACAAAGCACTCCAAATGAATGTTGTTCACACAGTTTGGCTTTATCAGTGTTTGGCTCCACTTCCATTAGCAGCAGAACACAGGACCACTCTGGCAGGATGACAGTAGCCAAGTGTCTGCATTGTGCTAAGTGCTTCATAAGTACAAAGAGAGATTGTTTCTAATGCAGGTCTGAGGTACAGGCAACATGTACATATCCAAAAGATAGTAAGATGTAAGGAGATTGAACAGAAAATCCTGTATGTGACAAAGTGAGACACAAGTGACAGCGAGGGAGGACTTGTACTGTCTGCGTAGGTACCAGTGATAATAATATAGTGAGAAAAAGTGTAAAGTTTTTATTGCCTTCATTGTTTACTGCTATAAATTATGGATATGGATATAGATATAGGTATAGATATAGATATAGATATTGATATATTATAGCATACTGAGGCTAATTTAAGAAATTACTCACTAAGAAACTAAATAGAAATTACCACAAAATATTTAGATTCAAAATCTCGGTGTACCAAAGAAGAATATAATGGTTTCATTTAAATCAGTCATCTTGTAAGTCATGTTAATATAGAGGAAATTCTATTCATTTATTTATTCTACTTATCTTATTTGAAAGTAGAAATCCAAAGTAGTTGGAAAAACTAACCTTATTTCTGCTCCTAAAGGAAAGCTATGTTGACTAGGTCAAATGGACATGCTTCAGTGAGGCAGCTAGTGAAAAACACTTAAGAAGGAGTCAGTGCAGATATCCTGGAAATCATATACACAAGCAATACCTTAATATTCTGTACTTTCAACAGACAAATACCACAGACTGGAAAAAAAAAAAAAGCTGGAAAAGTTATATAGAAAGTTTTAAGAAGATTTTTCAGTTACACCTATTACTTTCCATATTTCAATATCAACCTGTTAATATTAATGCATTAATTAAATTGCTAATATTTTTAGTTTAATTAAAATATTAGTAGTATCTCATACAAATACCAGGAGTACTTCATGAGTTCAGGTAAGAAGGCCTTCAGTTGTTGCCAAGAAATTCTTACTAAAATAGCCACTATTTTTTATTTTAGAAGCTGTATCTAGATTTAAACCTTTGAAAGATCTTTGACAAAGACCTTCAGAAGAAGTTACTGGAATATTAGTCATGGGTTAGGAGAAAAAGGATTGTCATGAATCAAAATCAGAATACCAGTCAGGAAATAGAAAGAGAAAACAGCCTGTGACCCTTTGCAAAAACACTCCAAAACAATAGTAAGGTACCTTGATGCTACGCTGTGTTAAGCCCCTTACTATTTTAGTATATTTACTTCAGTTTTGAAAGGGAAGTAATTCACCTAGGAAAATATCAAGAAATTAGGGACAAGTAAAAACTCATCAGTTAAAAATCGTAAGAGAGATGAAAGAGACAATTATCTTCTGAATTTCACCTCTGAAAACAGGCACTGTAAAAGTATACAAAACAAACATAAGCTAAAGAAGATTTAAAACTCTTCCCTCCTTTATGCTATATCTGTGAGAAAATGTTATTAAAATTCAAGATGTTCCATTAAATTTGCAACTATCTCATTTCAAAAGAGTAAATGAAAGCACTGTGTTCTCATGGACAAGTGATAGAGGCTATGCTCAGACTTCAGAAAGACTCATAGTGGAAATTAATCTTTACATGATAAAAATTTGTATAATTATTGTTAAGATTCTTTGTAGAATCTGAATTGTCAGGATTCACTTCTTAAACCAAGGTTATACTGTATAGCATTAGGATCCTAGGGATTTTATTTACTACACAGATCCTTACAACCAACTGTCAGAAAAAAGGCCACTGGAAAGACATTATATTACTATGTAATGTTTTCTGAAAAGGAAATAAAAAATAAAATAAAATAAAAAATAAAATGCAGAAATAAACCAGACCTTGTACAACAGCAATTGGTTTAACATTATGTAAACTCTGGTTTCTAATTTCAAGGGCTATCCAAATTTATGGTGAACTGTTCTGTAGTTAGAATACAGAGCACTAAAACCTTCAAACTGAAATTTCTCCTTTTTGCATGGAGTTTTGCAGCACTAGCTTAACTCTCCAAGCCCCTCTTAAATTTTATTATTGCTGCTTATTTGGCTAGGTATCGAGAGAAATTAGTGAGTTAGAATTGTGGAGATCGGTTGAGAGCTTTTGATTTTAGGGCAGAACCAATTATTGCTGGGCATACTGCTCCAGCTCTGACAAGAGGGTTAAGTGGCTTGATTCATATTTGCATTTATACAGCACTCAGATACAAAAAGATAAATAGTGGAGATTGACTAGCAGAGACAGGGAGGGAGAAAGGAAGTGCGTGTCTCACGTTTTTAAACTGCACACCACAGGAAGCAAAGTCTTGGTGTGTGCACACATAAGCACAAGCAGCATAAATATTGTCCTTTTGCTTTTTTAGGCACATTGCTGTATCAGTGCCTGAGTCTTGGAGCTTCACAGGTCTGGTTCTCATTAACTCTGCCAGAGATGTACAGACACTTTTATCACATGTGACTTTTATTATGAATAAATTCCTCTGTATGAAAAATGCTAGTTATGCAATTAATTGATCATTTCTACTTAAGTCCTTTTGAAAATGATGCATAATATACCTGTTAAATTAAGGACTGATTTTGAGATGCAGGGAGTGGAATATAAAGCAGAATTCATTGTATTTTAAAACATTAGGAGTATATTCAATGAATTACACGGGTCTTTTAATTTTTTTTTATTTTATTAAGAATGTCTCTTATCAAATAATTTTCTTTCTTACATTGTGATTATTTTCTAACCCATTTGTCAGCACACCACAGGTGTTAACTGCAAATCACACAGTTTTTCCTTTTTTTAAAAAAGACGCTCCATTACTACCCAAATAATCCTATCAATCAGGTTTTTTTTCTTAATCCAGGTAAGATCTATTTCAAGTTTTTCTCTGCACTGTAGGTATGAATACAAAATTTTACAAGGCTTGAGAGAAAAGACTCCATTTAATCAAAGTTCCTCAAGAAGACATATTCCCAAGTGTGTTTTTTCCTTCCTTATCATTTATCCTGTACCTTATGTCTGGCATTCTAGAAGGCAAATATTTTTTAGAGCTTCTAAAACACCTCAGGCTGTGCCTACGGCTACAGATATGTAACCATATGGTTCCTTAATTACTTAGATCACTGTGCAAGGCCTATGTGCTAACATTCAAGATACATTTCACTCTGATGTTAGCCTAAAGGGACCCATCTGATATACAGACCTCATGACTGTGGCATTCCTTGTTTTTCTTGTGTGGAATTTGCTTTGAAGCTCTCTTAAAATATAAGGGTCATTTCTCAGACAGATACCTACTGACTAAAAACTGTGGGGTCCTCTTGCTTGAAAACCCCTCTGTAAGGTTATTGCTTACTCTGTATGCCTGAATTATTTCCTTTTTGAAGGTTTGCAGGTGATATAAATCTGGTAGGAGTGGAAGGCTGTGTTACCATCTAAAGGGACTTTATAGGCTTGGAGAAATGGGCCAAAAGGAGCCCCATTAAGTTCAGCAAAGGAAATATCGAGTCCACATCTTCACAGTGGTAACCTCTAGCAAAGCAAAGGCTGGGGAGTAACTTGCTGGAAAGCAGCTCTGCAGAGAGAAACTGGAGGGTTCTAATGAGCAACCAGCTGATCATGAGCCAGCAATGTGTCCTTCTGGCAAGGAAGGACAACATCACTCTGATCTGCATTAGGGAAAATGCTTCTAGCAGCTCTTGTTCTCTGCACAGCACTGGTGAAACATGCCTGGAGCACTGGGTCCAAGTGCAGAACTCCCCAGTACAAGGTACATGGGCATACCTGAATGAGTTCAAAGGAAGGTGATGGATGATTAAGCAGCTGGAGCATTCAGTGTATGAGGAGAGGCTGAAGAGATGCTTATCCTGGAGAAGAAAATGCTTAGCGGGATTTTATGCATCTGTAGGGATTACATGGATTTACCTGAGTAAAAAAGACAGAGCCAGACTCTTTTTCAGTGGGGGGCCACTGACAGGACAAGAGGCAATGAGCACAAACCAAACCACAGAAAACTGTATTTAAACGTAAGAAAAAGGTGGGGGTTTTTTGTTGTTTTTTTTTTTATGGTGAGTGAAATTAAACACTAGAGAAAGTTGCCCAAGGATGCTATGAAGTTTCCATCACTGGAGATTTTCATAACCTGACTGGATACAATCCTGAGCAATGTGCTACAGCTGACCCTGCTCTGCAGGGGCTGGGACTGCAGACCTTGGGAGATACCTTCCAGGCTCAACTACTATGAGATTTTGTAGTTCTGTGATACTATATATATATTTTAAAAAAAAAACAAACAAAAAACAAAAAAAACACAAAACCAACAACAACAAAAAAAAGAAAGGCCTAAGGACATTTTACTTTGTTATCTCTACAACCAAAACTTTCAAGTTGTGTGAATAACTTTCCAAAAATTGCTGGATTTCTTTATCTTGACCCATGAAATATGAGTGGAAAACAAATCACACAGCCTCTAGTTAGTGAAAGAATGAAAAGGAATTAATCTCTCATAAAGAGACAAGAAGACTTGTTGAATTTCCTTAAAAAGAATAAAAACAAACATTCTTACTTTATTTCAGTTAGATCAAAGATTTTATCCTTGGCCACACAGTACATTACAGTTTTGTTGCAAACCCAAGGAGATGCTTTCAACTTGCATTTTTCCAGAACAAACAGTGAATATTCACCTTTATATATACCATTGTATCCTCCATGGACTTCTCCAGCACTGGAGATTTCTTCAACATGAGCACCTTGGTCAGATGTAAAGTATACAAGAGTTTTGTCACTCAGATTGTGCTTCTCCAGTACATTCAGAACTTGCCCTAGATGGGAAAAAATAAAATAAATAAAGAAATAAATAAAAGAAACAAAGGACAGCTTTAAGAATCACAGAATGAACTAGGTTGGAAAAGACCTTTGGGATCATCAAGTCCAACCTATGACTTAACCTAACACTTCCTCATCAAGTAAAACATGGCACTAAGTGCCATGTCCAGTCTTTTTGTAAACATGTCCAAGGATGGTGACTCCACCACCTCCGTGGGCAGACAATTCCAGTGCCCAATCACTCCTTCAGTGAAGAATTTTTTGTGATTTCTAACCTAAACTTGCCCTGGCATGGCTTAAGGCTGTGTTCTCTCATTCCATCACCTGTTGCCTGGAAAAAGAGACCAACCCCACCTGACTACACCCACCTTTCAGGAAGTTGCAGAGTGATAATGTCACCTCTGAGTCTCCTTTTCTCCAGGCTAAACAACCCCAGCTCCCTCAGCTGTTCCTCACAGGGTTTGTGTTCCCAGCCCCTCACCAGCCTCGTTGCCTCCTCTGGATGCTGGGGACTTTAAATGACTTTTTTATTAACCTTGGCACATATAAACACTTGTGTCCTTATGCCATTTTGAGACTACTTTTCACATAAACTCTCTTATACACAGCAATTGGCACATGCAGCACACAGTAGGGCACAACCACACAAGGCTTGTTGCAATTGGGACCATGACTCTGTTGCTGCAGAATTTCTTGCAGTACAATATAGAGAATTTGTGCACATCAGAGAAAAGGGCTAATCCACAGAAAACAAGTGACTTTTGGAAGCAGTTGCTCCCAATCAAAGAAACCCCTTAGCAAGAAGATTCAAGCCACTGAGGATATTCAGTAACACTGAGGAAAGAGTCTCAGCATGCAGAGTAGATCTCACAGTTTGAGGGTAAAGCCTTGCTGCCTAGCAACCTATAGAGGCAGCATGGCAAAAATCTCAGCGTGAGTGTTAGAGTAAGACAAAAAAAAAAGTAATGTATGTAACACCTTTGAAGTATGTGTGGTACCTAATAATTAGCCCTTAATATCTCATCATATAGAAAAGCATCAACTAGACTCAAAATGTGCAAGGTAATGAACACACCCAGGTACACACATTTAAAAGTATCTACAAGGATATGTTTTGTACCTTTTAGGCACCATGGGCTCATGTTTCATTTTCACAAAGGGCTCCTCACACTACTTTGGCATTGTGGAGGGCCTTGCAGTTATATAAATTACACTGAAACCTATTTAGACTGAATTCTTTAAAGTGTGTTTCTATATGAAAGAGAGTGAAGCTGCTCTTTGTAACTTGCTCCAGTGAATTTTATACTGATTAGGAATCTAAAATTATTGGTCCTAGAAAATGACCAAAGCTTAAGAATATAATTCTTCACATCAGCCTGACAATGAATCTGTCCTTTAGGGATCTCAGAACATATAAAGATAATTCTGTCTTCACAACCATTTTATCTTTATTCTTTTACTTAAACATCCAAGAATGGTCCAATTTGAATGTTAATTTTGATTTGCTAACCTGTCCACTAAGAATTAATTCATCATCTGATGACTAATTATTGTGTCAAAGAGGATGAGATAAGAACTTAGAAATATAGAGCTTTCTAAATGGTTTTCAGATCACTGTTTCTGTTGCTATGCTCTTTTTCTGAATAAGGAGTAATTATCTTACTTTATTGCTGCTATTTCTAGTTGCCTCTTAATGTTATATCATACTAAAAAGCTGTTTTTTGAACAGGTTGACTGTCTTAATTTTTCAAATGACTGAGTCATGAACAAAGGAACATCAGCCACTAAATTTAAGTAGATACCTGTTGGTCTTGTTTGTAAAGTAGGAGCAAAGAAGAAATATAAGAGTAGGAGAATTTGTTTATGTAAATTTTGAAGCCTCGTGGGAGTTGAAATTTCCCAACAGAGCTGAGAAAATCTGTTACAAAGGCTGACATTTTAAAGTTGGTGGGTTGAGGGAAAATCATGCAGATTCATCTGACAATCCATGTGCTTGCTGCATAAGGTGGAGTTAATGCCAGAAAATAAAGAGGCCATTTCCCATTGGCTTCTGAAATTGTTTGGAGATTTTTTTTCTAAGTTATTACAATATCTCTTGAAAATGTGTCAATGATGATAAAAAGTAGAGTATAAAGATAAATTAGAAAATTATGTGTAGGTATTCAGCCACACGACCTCCAGAGTTCCCTCCAAACCTACATCAAGCCATGATTTTATGATACAATAATAATAAATAATATTGTGGAAAGAAATGTACGTGCAGTGATGTGCACAATAGTGTTTTATACATACATTATGTTCCATGATGAAATTGAACTTTCAAGTTAATGTTGTATACAAAACAAAATGAAAATAAAATGAGAATGGTGCTCAGTATATAACATTAAATGATCTCTGGTGATCAAAGGTAATCATTCAGTAATGGCCACTTTGATTTCCCAACTAATTTGGGAATATATGAGAAGCAATGAAAATTGTCTCACTATCACAGATAAAGTTAAAAATTAATATTAAAATTAAATGTAAGACATTATGATGACTTTTTTTTTAATGAGATTGACTAACTTGACTTATTCTGAAAAAAAATATAAGATTCTGACATTCAGATGCTTCTCATATTGGGAAAAAATACAGCCATATAAAATGCATAGAAATTCTCATCCAAAACTTGTTAAACTCAATGGTAAAACTTCCATTTCCTTCAAAAAGGTTTTTAAACACAGAAGATTGCCTACATTAGGTTTAATTAATGAATGCTAAAATGCCAATTTTTCTTAGAAGAAACATTTTTCAATACAGATGGACTAATAGTCGTAATTCAAAAAACAGTATTGTCAGAGTATGGCAGTCAGAACAAACCTTCCATTTCTATTTTGAACACTGGCACCTACTAGAATGAAAACTGTAAATAAACAGCAAAGTGTGTGCTACCAGGAAATAAGCCACATCTAAGTGCATTTGAATGGTGTGACTCCCATTAACACATGAAACATATTCACTTACCAATATTTCTAAATGATAACCAGTGCAAAAAAAATGCAAAGAATGCATTGTGGATGTCTGTGGATAGTTATCTTTCATGCTCAATATTATATGAATTTTGGAAGCAAATACTCTCATGAAGACAAACACATCTTTTACAGTTATAATTTTTTTTTTCTTTTTGTAATTTTAACTTCTTTACTCTCACTACTTCTGTATATTTCAGAGACTTTGGGATTAAGTTAAAATTGATGTATAAATATTCCCAGGCAATGGCAGTTATTTTAACTGCCTTGGAAGAGGTGAATCACAGCTGCAAAAAGACCTTTTTTAGCTGTTGACTGAAAAAGAGAAGATAGGCAAGTAACTGAAAACTAAATGCTTTCATATTAGACATCAAGGACAGTAAGATGAATTGTACCCAAAGTGCTAGACATGCAACTCCATGAGCAACACACTTTAATGAGTGTGGTGAACAGATAAATGATGTCTGCATAAGAGATGATGGTAAAATCGTATTGCTTCACCCATAAAATATGATTGGAAATATGTCATACATCATGTTCTTTTTAGTTAGAAGAATGGGACTTCAGCTGGCTTAGTGTCCCCTGTGCGTTCTATTGCAGGCTTCAGAAAGCAATACAGATTTCAATAGAATTTTTGATTGTCAAGGGTTTATACAGAATATGAAACTGTAGGATGAATAGGTCAAAACATCAGGAAAACCGTGGTTTTTTTCAAGCAGCTAAAGCTTACCTTGCTTGAAAGCCAGGTTCTGAAAAATTAACTGCTGTACTGATCTATGTGGATGGTAACAGCTATTGTTTTTTTCTGATTTGAACAGAATTTATTTGGAAAGGCAACATTTCTGAATATCAAAATCAATCTAGCTGATGTAGCTCCATAATTTCTGCAGCTATTTAGCAACTAGAATTTCAGATCAAGCTACTCCTACCACTGCCATTATAGGAATGTATTCTGCAATGCAGGTGACTAACATTGTAGCAGATAAAGGCGTTAGATCATTGGATATTTTTTTTCCATTTATATATTTTTAAGATACAAAACAAATTGAGAACTGCGTTAAGATGTTACTTGACTTAATTAGTGCATCGGTATTCCAAAATTTAAATGAAACTTCTTATGAAATATAGTGAGGAATGCTCTCTATATTCTGCTCGCCCTTCTTGCTTCAAGCTGTATAAAATTATAAAGAATTGTTTCATACTGAATGTGAAAATGCCAATTTCAGTGGAGTGATAGCCATTTGAAAGTGAGAAGAGCAATTGACTCTGTTCTTTGGAAGGAAACACAGAGCCATGCCACTTTTCAACTTCTCCAGCACTGTCTGAATGGTAGCTGAACCAGCCTTGCTAATGATGATCATAATTACTGAGTTTTGACTCATAATAAAGCTCCTACTGTACGCATGTACATGAAGAAATAAGGCTTCTAAAAAATGACTATTCATTTGTAAACAAGGTACAAACACTGAAAAACAATAAAGTGTTTACAAACATGTTAGTGATTTGGAAAAGTGTTCAAAGGTTTAGTCAAGCAAGCATATGAACAAATGCATTTTATTCAAAAATTAGTTAATCATCATTTCAAGTCATTAGGAAAGAAATATTATTTGTATTAACTCAAAATAATTTAGAGTATTGCTGAAATTGTGAATAAAAACCTAGAGGAAACAGAATACCTCTGTGTAATCTAGGCATTAGAAAAAAAATAGTCTCTCTACTAGTGAGGAGAGCTTTAAAGCTGTTTGCCAGATTCAAAGACAAAATATGTTTCAGAAGGAGGGTTAAGGATCTGTCTCAGGAAAAGACAGTTGACAGGAAAGGAAATTCCTGTTAATGTAATGCTCTTTTCCATCTCCAGTAAACTTTCACATGCCTCTCTTGTATCCAGAAACTTATAGCAAGACACTTATTGAAAAAAGAATCCAATAGATCAGCCTGGAAAAATAAGCCATCACATCACTGCTTAGAAGAGGCAGTTTGATTGTTGC